GCTAACATAAGGTATTCCCACAGAACCGTCTCCAGCACGTCACTGTGGAGGGATGGGATGCAGACACCACGAGTTTTGGCTGGACATGGACACAGCAACAATAAAAACAACACCCCTGATTTAGCAAAAGAAACCACAAAGGCCAGGTCAGCTTTGGGTCTACTACAAATGGTTCAACTTAGATGATATTTTTTCACAATACTTTTGTATTTAATTCTACAGTCTTGTCATCTGGAAGCAGTGTGGGCAGATGCAAGTGATTGAAAATAACAGCTCCATGGGGCTTTTCCTTTTTTTTTTTTTAAACAAATATTGCCTGCCATTTGTATTTATAACTAATTCAAAAACTAATGGTATTATAGTCAATGCCTTTTGGATGACTCTAGGATTTCATATCAGAAGAACTGTTTGAAGGACAAAATGCAATAATCTACTGGAGACAAGGTTGCTACCTGAAATGTTTGTTTGCATGTGAGAGAAAACCAGGTTTATAGAAACACAAGATAAACTGAAAACCTGAATGCTGGCAGTAAGAAAAGACATCTGTGCTTAGGACGTCCTGTGACTGTGGTGGCAATAATTCATTGCGAACGATTGAGAGCTGCAGAAAATCAGCTAAGGACTGCTTGTGGTGACCTAAATCCCCTGACACTGACCCTGGAGAGGTCCCCTTGCAGGTAGTATAAAAGTCCTTTGGGACACCAACTTGCAGACAGATTTACAAAATCCTAGAGAGCCGGTTTGCATCATGCATCTGACACACTCTTCTGCCTGAAATGATATTTAGTGCTGGTCACACAGTAGTGGAGAGGGGAAAGCCTGTGTGGCTGTGCAGTTCTGCCCCTGTGTAACATCATTTCACCCATGGCTGTTCTGGCCTGAGGGAGGCATCCAACCACCAGGACAGTGCTGTCCAGATGATTTGCGGGGTGTACCAGGTGGCAGATCTTTCTCAAGAATGGTTGGGCTTTTGGACAAGTGGACAAGTAGCTTTGGATTTGGGGTAAAATTTTCTAAAGCACAAAGGCCAGACACAAAAAGAAGTTCTTAGTTTTTCTTTGGTCCTACTGATGTGTTTCATAAGGCTACCTTAGAACAGCTAACCAAAAAACCAGCACTTTGGAGTCTTTGTTTCATTTCGTATTTGCGAAACTCAAGCTCTTGGCACAGATCCTCAGAAGTATTCGGGCACGTTGGATCCTACAGATTCCTGTGATCAGGTAACTTGGCTGCAGCTGCCTTGGAGACTCGAGCTCAAGGGCTTCCTATCACTTCTGAGAAAGCAGATTTGCACTTTTAAGAATTTTGCCCATTATTTATGGAAACAAAGAACTCTTTCAAAAGAGAAGCTTCTAATTCCATAGCACAGGGCCAACTGTGCCATCGTTCCCTGGGGTGAGGGCTGCTCTCGCTGTGCTGGGAGCAGCACTGAGCTCCCCTCGTCAGGACACTGGTGCTGAGGGCTCCTTCCACATCCGACCTGCAGCAACCCCAAATCGAGGACACACTTTGGCACTAGAGTAAGCCCTATGAAAGGATATACCTGCCTAAGGTAACAACTGATGTTTTTGTTCCTCATTCCTGCTTATTTAGAAAGCAGGCAAATAGTGATAAGTTTTAAAACAATTCCAAGAAGTTTGTAATCACAAACAAGCTGTGGGAGCTCTGATGTAAGTCCAATTTTTTGGTTTTTTTCCACAGAACATGTCTGTTTACACCAGGAAACTAATAAACATAGTGTCAACAACAGCCATCAGAATAATTCTTCAGGGTTTGAAGGGCAGTTTGTAACTTTGTTTAGTGACTGGCTTCATTCCCTCTCCCTCCCGTGTAAATCTGAGAGATGAAGGGCTCTGAAACAGCAAGTGGGAGCTGTGTCTGCATTTGGAGACTTAGGGATTTTCATTTCATTCTTCTCTATGAGCTTGGTGTAAGCCTGTCTCTGGCCTTCAGTAAAGAACAAATAAGCAATAATAGCTTGTGTGGTGCCAAAACTATAAAAACAACTGACATTAGTGGGAGCTTCCAGTGCTCATAAGATATTTAGAAATGTGAGCCCCAATGTGTATGACCTAATGAATGATAATTTGTATTTTCTCTGATAGTTGAAAATCCTTAAGTTCATACATTACTCTTAAGAGGCTGTAGCTAAGTTAAAATTCTTGAGGAAAGTACATGCAATGATAGGACTGGATAATGACTTTGTGATCTGGACTCCTGCTGTGTAAGGAACATCTCACATAGGATGTCCTATGATGTAGCTGTTTCTCTCTTCTGAGAATAGCATTCATATTTTTTCCATTTTATAAGGTCCAAAGTCTCACAATGCTTCTATAAAAAATACAGAACTGTTTTGTACAAAGTAGAAATAATGCAAGACTCAAATAATTTATTTGAGTCTTATAACTGGATTTCCCTTGTCTAAGAAGGGTCAAGTAGCTCCTGCATCCCACAGTCCTGTTGTGTGTCTGTCCGTTCGCTCTGCCCCCCTCATGGAGACATTTTTCCATGAAAAATGTAGTAGGAACTTTGCATGCTTGAGATAGATCTTTCTCTGAAATCAGCTAAGATTTGGAAAAGAGCTTCATGTGAAAGAGCAGCCGGAGTGCCTGTAGCTTTGCCTAGTGAGGGGTGATGAGCCAGCTGGGAGCTTATGGGTCGGGATTAAAGGGCAGACCAATGTGAGCAACTGTGGTCTCCTACAGATCACCTGATTGGGAAGAAGCAGCAGACAACTGGGAGAAGCCTCATGTTTGCAGGTCTGGTTCTTGAACCACCCTGGTAGCTTCTGGGAGAACACAGCAGGGCACAAGCAATCATGGCTGTTTCTAAAGTGCATTGAGGATAACTCTCTTCCAGACACAGGTATGGAGGAGCCAGCCAAAGGAAGTTCTCTGCTCTACCTGATGCTTACCAATGTGGAAGAACCAGTCAGCAGTATGAAAGTCCATGGTAGCCCTGGTTGCAGTGATGATAAGATGAAAATGGGGCAAGGAAACCGGTGCCAAAGGACATGGAAAAGGTCAAAGTGCTCAGTGCCTTCTTTCCCTTGTTTTTTCAAGCAAGATTTGCCTACAGGAATACCAGATGCCTGAAACTAGTGGGAAGGTCTGGAGCAAGGAAGACTTGCTCTTGATGGATAAGGATTAATTTAAGGAACATTTAGGCAGACTAGACACATACAAGTCTGTGGAATCTGATGGGATGCACCTACGAGTACTGAGGGACCTGCTCAATGTCACTGCGAGGCCACTCTCAGTTATCTTTGAAAGGTTGTGGTAACTTGAGGCCAGATTCCTCAGGCCTGGTAGAAGGTAAATGTTACTCTTGTCTTCAGTGTGGGCATGGAGAATCTGAGAAACTACAGGCTGATCAGCCTCACCATGATCCCTAGGAAATGGAGAAAATAATCCCAAGTAATTGCACAAACTCATAAAAGTGAAACCATGTTTGACCAACGCAACAGCTTTTTACAATGAGATGACTGACTCAGTGGATGAAGGGAGAGCAGTGGGTGCTGTTTATTTTGCTAGGCTCTTGACATTGTCTCCTATAACATCTGTGAGACAAAATGTTGAAGTATAGACTAGTTAAGTGGACAGTAAGACAGACTGAAAACTGGCTGAACTGCTGTGCTCAGAGGGTGGAGATCAGCAGCTCAAAATTCACCTGGAGGCCAGTTACCACTGAGGTCCCCCAGGGGTTGATACTGGGCCAGTACTGTTTAATCTCTTCATTAGTGACCTGGAGGATGGGGCCAAATGCACCCTCAGCATGTTTGCAGATGATAAAGAACTGGGAGCAGTGACACATGAGCCACAATGTGTCCTTGTGGCAAAGGTGGCCACCAACCTCCCAGTCTGCGTCATGCATCATGTGTTGCCAACAGGTCAGGAGAGGTGATCTGCCCCTCTGCTCAGCCCTGGTGAGACACATCTGGAGTGCTGTGCCCAGTGCTGGGCTCCCCTGTACATGAGAGACATGGACCTGCTGCACTGAGTCCTGCAAAAGGCCACAAAGGTGATTCAGGGCCATATAAGCAGAGGCTGAGAGTTGGGCTTATTCAGCCTGGAGAAGAAAAGGCTGAAGGGGACCTTATCAGTGTTTATAAATATCTGATTGGAGGGGAGAGGGGAGTAAGGAAGATGGGCCAGACCCTTCTCAGTGGTGGTGCCCAGTGACACCACCAGAGAGGCAATGGCCATAAACAGAAATATTGGAAATTCTGTGTGAACCAAAGAAATAACTTTTTTACTGTTCAGTGGTCAAACATTGGAGCATGTTGCCCAGAGAGGTTGTAGAATCTCCATCCTTGGAGATATTAGAAACCTGACTGGATGCAGCCCTGAGCAAACTGTTTCAGTTGCCCCCGCTTTGACTGGGGATCGGACCAGATGGTCCCCAAAAATACTCAACTGTTCTGTGATTCTGTGGGGTGGGCACACCTGTGCATTTATACATCTGAGAACACACAGGTAATTTAACTGCATAAACTCTTTAGAAAGTTTGTTACAAAGATAACAGAAATTCTGTGAGCTCTGTTTCAGGGGGAGTTAAAAAGTTTGGCGCTCATATGCTGAGCGTTGTTTTAATCAGTCTATGTTTAGGTTTGGGTCTTCTGGGCCATACAGGCTACAGACCTTTTAGTATATAATATCTAGAAGTCTATTTAATGTATTTTGGTGCAGGTCCTTCAAAACTAGTCGAAAATGCACATTAAGTGCAACACCTTCTATGTCAGATAAGCCAGTCGGACCAGGTTTTCCTTGCCTTACAGTGCCTCTCACAAGTTGTGATGTTCTGGCTCTGTGGGGTCTTGGGGCACCCATTCTGCCTAGGCTGTGTTTATTCAGTATAGGGAAACACATCAATCTGGGACCACTCAGAACTGTCACAGAAATATTGGGAAGAACCTTCCTGCTTAATATCTATCAGTGTTATGATTAAAAAAACCTCAAACAAATGCCACATTTTGTTTTTTCCTCTGGTGACCGGGCACCAGCATCTTGCTGCCATTGCTTCTTGTGTCCTCTGATAGTGTTTAAGCCCTTTTGAACAGCAGCCCATGGAAGGGGATGGGTGGACAGACTGTCTATTAAAACAGGTAAGTTATTTATCGTGCAATAAATAATTCAGCACAAATCGTAAAATCTAGCAAGTCTGTTACTTTGAATTTCTTTAAATCAACTCATCTTATATTTTGGTTTTTTTTTCAATCAGCTGCAAAGATGATGCAGAACACAGAACAAGATCAAAGGCTATGTATTATTTCACTATGTAAGTCTATAATAGAGATATAAAGGAGAACAATTTCTCCTCTTCAGTCTATCATGTCATTGTATGTCAAGGATAGTACTCCTTCCTGATGTTGAGTAAAAGATTTAACAGGAAATCCTTGAGCCGAGGACAAGGCAGAATTGTTCTGGGGAAGTGCTCTTGCTCTCCATCACCTGCCAGCGTCTGCTGTCAATCTCCAGGACAAGCTTGGATCTTGAACACAGTCTTGTTTTGGACCAGTTAGTACAGCTGAGTCAGACAGGTTTGGATAGTCAGGGGAAACACGGATGTTATAATTGTTCTCTTGAGGAGTTACTATGACTCACTTGGTTCCTATTATCTGTAGTATGCTGGTTAGGGTCTGAGTCAAGGAAACATTTAACCCTGAGCTTTGTTCACTCAAATTCAGAGTGAATTTTAGAGCCCTGTGCACTTACGCATTTTCCTGGAGTATGGTGTTTTTCTGAGGTAATGTCTGTAGCCAACCCAGAGGAGTTAATAGAGAAAGGACCTGTTGACTCTTGGAGGCTTGGATTCAACTTTCTCTTTAGTAATGTTGACAATGCTGGAAAAAAACAGGGATCCTCTAACAGGCATCATGCAGAGTATGTAGTCCTGGAAGGGGACAGGGTGAGTTAAGCCACAGCTGTTGTTTTAATTTGGACTTTCCTGGAGCTGCAGAGATTGAGACCACTTCAATGTTTCAGAGGACCAACAGTGAAGAATCAATGACAGTTCAGACAGTTGTGGAGGAGGTATATAGCTGAGAGTGAGCTAATATTACGGTGGTCTGGATGACCTTATGTGATGGTGGAGACTAAACCAATGAGACTGGAAGAGATGAGACCCCCAGAGCAGTCATTTCTTCATCCCCTTGTGTTTTTCTACACCTGGTACCTGCCAGAGCATAACAGACTTTAATCTTTGCAGGGGAAAGGAAAGATGTCCTGGGCTAGAGGAAAAGACTACCACCATGGCAGGGAGATCCACGCAGGTCACATTGTCCCAGCTCTGGATGTGAGTACAGTGGGGAGAAAGAGAGGCTTGGCTAGGCCAGGCAGCGCAGACCTGCAGTATTGTTGCTGCATCTAGAGCTGTAATATTACCAGTAGAGCTTCCCACCAGCTCCTGGTGTCACTTCTGCAGTACCAGGACCTACCTAAGGGGTGACAGTACCAGCCACCAGGCTCTCTGCAGAAACACCATCCCTGCTACCAGGATTCCCCATTTCTCAGAAAGTAGCTCTATAGATGGTCCACAGGGGTCCTGCCCTACCCAGGAACAAGGCTTTCAACCACCCCCCCAACACCACTGGGCCTTTCTACGCTGTATGAAGTGGTGTGATGAGTTCACCATCTCGCCTGTGTGCATTATCACTACTCCAGCCAAGAGACCCGGTTAGCAACACGCAGCCAGGACCAGCCGTGGTAACAGTGGGTGTACAGTGACCTACTTTTGACACAGCTTATGTAGCCTTTCTTGCTGCTTTATGCTTGAATGGCAGAATTTGCAACAAAAGGTCAATTTATGGCAGCCTTTTATTGCAAGGTTCTTTTGCTGTAGTCCAAAGTTATAATGACAAAATGCTCCGCTGAGTACAATGAGGACTGCAAAAATCAGACCCACTTTTTATGTAAGGCTTTTAACTTTATCTGTTTTAAACAGATTTTAGTGCTAAGCTGTTTGTTTGCTTTCCTATGAAAAGAGCTTTATTACTTGCATGGTGAGCAATAGAGGAATATGTCTGAATATTAATAGAAAGGCTCAGAAATGGGGTGTTTCAGTGAAATCATAAAAAATATTTCTGAAGCTCAGCAAATCACCCCCATGCATGGAAGGAGTCTAAACCACAGGAGCCCAGAAAAGGGAAAAATGCATGGCAAAAATGAAATGGGAACCTGTCCCCTGCCAAGGGAAGGCACAAAATAAATCTGATGTGACCCAAACACACAGGGTCATAAACAGGCCGAGATAAATGCAGGAGGAAGGACACTGTGACAATAGTTAGCCCAGAGGGCTGAGACACATGGCTGAGTTCCTACATGTCAACTGTGCTGCAATATCTGACTGATTCATACACTTTGCCTTCGGCAGCCGGGGGGTGAAACACATTATGTTAAGCCTCAGTGAAAGAGGGTTGGATGAATGTGCTCTCCTTGCTATTCTCAAAGGGGTGAGAGCATGTCCATGAACAGCTCAGCTGTCGGGGACACCCACCACTGCTCTGGGCACCCATGGGCTCCCATTCTGAAATGACCCCGACCCCTTTCTAACGAGGGTTGGCCTGTTGCAAATAGGAGCTGTGGAGGGTGTTAGTGTATAACCCTTTTGCCTCCAGCTCAAGGTAAGCATATGATGGAGCAGAAGGTCCCCGATGCTATGTGGAGCCTTCTTAGGCTTTAGTGACTCCATTGCATGTCTGAACCTTTAGCAGGGCCATGCCGTGGGCAAATGTTGTGCTTGGGGAGATACCCTAATGTGGTACAGAGCCTTGTTGAGCTGACAGGGTGGCTGGTCATAAATCCTGGGTAGGGGCAGCCTGTATCCCACTCTCCTAGCAGGATGCCAAGGACTGTGCCCCCAGTACAAGCAGAGCCTTGTTTTCCTCTCTACTCAGCTTTCTTCCAGATAGCAAAAGCAGCCTTGCCAATGTTCCTCTATGGTTTCTACTGCTGCCAGTAATCTGGGTAATCTCTTATCTTGACTTATTTTGCTGTTTATAGCCATGACAGCCGAACCCTAGACAATGTGTAATGTGTGAGTTATGTTAGACGTCGTCGAGCCAACACTGATCTGGAGCCAGGGCACTGCGAGCTGTGTGCTAGAGCTCAGAGCACCAGAGGTGAAAATCAGCAGTGGCAAGTGATTTGGGAAATTGCTGTGTCCCGGCTTCAGTTTACTCACTCAGTGAACAGTCTGCTCTTTGGGACTGATGGAAGGTTTTGCCTAAAGGCAGTTGAGTGTTTCTGGTTATGAGACACTCAGCCACAACTTCAAGCAAAAGGCTTGTTAGTCATCTTTCCTTCTATCTCATGTATCATCACAGTAATAAACCTCTCACAGCTGCTGTCCAGGATGCTGGGAAGGTGGGCTCTCTCAGTTTGAGCCTTCTCTATCTGTGTGTTCCCAGTGCTTTGTCTAGGTTTGTCCTGGTTTGGACTCTGGCTGAAGTCAATCTCCTACAGCAGTTGGAAAAGATACAAATAAATCATATCTTTCTTAGCTGGATTGACTCCTGAGTTTTGGCAGGACCAAGGAACTCTTCAGTCAGAATTGAAACTGCTATTATAATCAGTTACTCCATGCAGAGCATCATCTTTTGCATGCAAACATATAGGTACAGTCCCTTTCCAAGTCTTAATTACTGGGTGGATCTAAAGATAAAGGCGATTAAAAAAATTCATCAGTCATGAACTGACATCATTGTTTGCATCAAAGAAGCAGATCCACACTTCTGTAGCATCATGAAATCTGTAGAACTGGTGATGCTGATGGTCTTTTTTATAATAAATTCTTTTAAAGGCTTGATCTTAAGTTGAACTGAACATCTCATTAGTTCTTTTCTTGGAAGAGCTCAGTACATTTCTCAATCAGCTGGTTGAAAGAACGATGAACTGTGAAGACAAGTGCCTGGATGTATGAGTTTTCTCAGATACAGTCATAACCACATCCTGAGTTAAGGAGCCATTTGCAGTCATCTTATCAAACAGCCCTTGCTGTTATCAGCCTATCAGTGACAGCAAGGCACAAGTGTTGAAGTAGAGAGAGAGATAAAGGAAAAGGAAAATTCTCTGAGCAGCCAGCTGGGAAAACAAGTAATGAGGCCCCCTGCTTGGGTGTCTTTTCCATGTAGGAGGGTCCTCGCATTACAATGTCCCACAATAACCAAACAGTTTTCATCAGGAACTGTTTTGGGGGAATTTGTGCTTTATTCCTGGTTGCAATGCTGTTGGGAGAATACTTTGACAGAGTGGGTGTTGCATGCCTGCTGGTTGTTAATCTGTGTATTTTTGAGTCCAGTCACTGAAAGCTACCACCAAAGGGAATATAAAGGGTGGGCACAATTCTCACCCCAGTGGCGGTTGCTCCCCTTGGGAACACACCTTAACAACAGTATCAAGTTTGCAGGATCAAGGCCATAAGAATAACAGCATGAGAACAATGCGAGAACAACTGACAACAGAGGAAAACAGCTGTCCCAGAAAAGCTGGAAAACACTCTTACGGCAGCTTAGGAGAAAAGGTACAAATGTGCAAGTGAAAGGCAGGCTACAGAATGGCAGCCAGATGGCCCTCAGCATGACAAGGGCTAAGGCACCTACGGCACTGCCACAGAGGAGACTGGCACCCCAGAATGGGGCCCACAGCGTTGAGGTGCTGAGAGGACATTGCTCAGACAGACTGAAATGTGAAAAAGGAGTCAACCCTGGAAATGCCACCTTTCTCTCTGACTTAGGTATTCATTTGAAAGCCCGTATTAGGTGTCAGCTTGTACCTTGGGACATCTAGCAGTGCAGAACACTGATGAACCGCAGTTCACCTTATAGTCCTCCATACAGCCAAACCAGGACCTGGCTGGAGCGGATCATGACTTCAAAGCCATACATCCATGTCTTCTTCCTGCGAAAGCCAGAGAGTAGAAGAGAGTGGAAGGTTGCTGCACACCTTGGTGTCCCCTGGGCACACAGTCAGGATGTAGCAAGGGCAGTCATCCAGGCCGGGGATTTGCAGAGAACTCTCACACATAACCATAATCCTACCCTTGGGGACAGATTACCAGTTAGCATTTCTTTTCTTTCTGACTGTATCTGGAATGGGTAACTCCCTCTTTTTGTATAAAAATCTGCTAGTTCAAGCACTTGTCCAGAAACCGCGAGACCTGAGTTTTACACCCTCAGCCTGAGAGATTTCAAAGCCACTGCTTCTCTTTCTACATGAGCATCTTCACAGGTTTCCTAGAGGTCAGTGAGAGAAGGAAATGTTCTCTATACTTCCCCAAATTTTAGCTGATCTGTTGTGCGAAAAGGAGTGGATCTGCAAGAGAAGGCAAGCAAAAGAGACCCTGCCTCTTTTGTTTGGGCTCTTCCAGGGTGGAGAATGAGGAGTGCTGGCTGATCCTTGCACCAGGGAACTTCTCCAATCCCACTTCATGGTAGTAAATATATAAATAACACCAGGAGTGAGGAACAGAAGTTGGGACTTGCTCTTCCTGGTGGGAATGCCAGAGGCTCCTTACCAGTGAGAGCTCTCTTTGGTCTTTCTTCTTGTAGGGTTCGGCTTCAACAGAAAGGGTAGGGAGGAGTCCACCTTGTCATCACCCTGTAGGTGGGGTGCTCCCAAGGTTGGCAGCTGTGGACTTTCTGTTCTAGTCTTCTCTCTTGAGTTGTAAACTTTTCTAAACAAAGGTCAGGTTTTTGTGATGTGTCTGCACACGGGCTAGAATAACATTGCCAAGCACCTTGCTATTATCTTGCTGCTGTCATTAATTACCTAATTAAAGCTGATCATGATATGTTAATGATAAACCTTAGCCTGATTTCTGAGGAGAACAGAAAATTGGCTTAGTTTTCCTAGCTCTGGTCTCATTAAAGCCTCATGTCATTCTCATTATAATGTGATTTTCATTACTTAATCCATTATTTACCACAGGGAGAATCTGAAATGCACAGACTATATTTACAATGCGAAAATGCTACTTGGGTACTAGTCTTGGAACCAATGGTTTTGTACAAGGAATTGCTTTACAAATCTGTCTTGTGGCTACTTTTAAAAATAATAGTATTTAAAATAGGCACTTAAGGGATGAGTAACAAGTCTTGGCTTTGCAAATGCAGACATTAGATCACAGTGACCCTCTGCCTCTTGGGAACAACTTCCCTCTCACTTCCAAGCCATTGGATAATGTGTGCTGAGTAAACCGAACTTAGGTCAAAGAGCTGTTCACATACATTGCTAATTGGTGAACTCTTCATTTAGTGTTTTAAGGGATCTGGCACCATGTTTCAGCTTTATTCTCCAGCGGACTACTTGATCCAATGGAGCTTGCTTTTTATAATTTTTCATTTCAAATAACAATGTTTTCTCCCCAGAGGTTTTAATACCTGTGATCCAAAGTGGGGTTTTTTTGTTTCATTCAGAACATTGTACCTTGACAAGCACTGTGGTTTCCCATCTCTGTCAATGGGTTCAGCAAGTGACTCAGAGTGACACATAAATGAACAATCAGCGCCGCTCCCTGCAGTGTCTGGCCATTCAGAGAACTCCCTCACCACCCATACATCTTTGTGGTTTGAGAAGTCTGACAAGATTGCCATCAAAAGTGGAAAATTCGGGAAAGCCCAACTCTGTTTTGACATCAGCCACTGGTTTAAAATGCCAAAGCACAGAGAAAGCAAAACCACGAAGATACAGGAACTGCAACGCAACTGTTGTCAAGGAAAATCAAACAGTCCAGGGTTTGTAAGCTCAGTTTTTCCTTACAGTCTATCAATGTATATTCATGAGGAAGCTGGAGGGGAAATGGCACAAGAGCTCTCTTCCTTGTGTGTACTCAGTGGATGGTCCACCAAGAGCCTCGACCCTTGCTCTCAGGAAGGAGACGAGTCTATCATGTTCAAGAGAGGTGAAAGGTGCAAGAAGAATGTCAAGCTCTCTGTCCAGCGGGTCCTTGAGGGACAGATGAGCAGGCTCCAAGTCTTTCAACAGTGTTATTGAACATGCTCCTTCACAGCCAATGTACTCTCCAGATGCTACTTGGCATCTGTGGTTAAATCCATGGATGTTTGATATGCTCAGTACTGATCAGGAAGAGTTAAACAGTCTCATTTCTCCAAAGAAAACAAAAAGTCTCTTGTCTTCAAGGCATCACATATTTTCAAGTGCCTCTATACTTGAATATCCACCTGGAAGTCTTTTTGGGCTGGATGCTTAATGCCCCTGAACTTCACAGCTATAAACAGTGTTATGAAGCACTGTGGTTGTTCAGTGTTTGGGAAGGAGGAGATGCCTGGTGTTGAAATATGCATTTGAGGCATCCTCTGAAATACAGTGGAAAGGCAGTCAGCTATTGTCCTTAAATAAAGGGAATAGGAGAGAGCAAACTAAATCATATTTGGGTTTTGCCTTCAAATCCAGCCATTCATGATGCCTTCTTTTTACTCAAAATGCAGCATGCCTTGAGATTTTGCCATCTGCTCTTTCCTTTAGGAAAAGTCTGCTTTATTTTACCTCCCTTGCAAAAATTAACATCATAATGAGGAAAGCACTTTGCTGTTCTGGTTTGCAGTACACCAGGAGACAAAACAACCCACAAGTCCATGTCCTTGACTGAATTGGCAGTGTCTTGGCACCCATGTATTTATAACCTCTAAAAGGTATCCACACCAAGTGATATGTGGGCTGGGGGAGCAGCAGTGCCAGAGAGTCACCTCTGTGTGCTGAATGGTCATCTTTGCAGAGGGAGTCGGTACTGTAACTTTTTTCGTGTGGGAACATTAATGACTGTACATTGTTATATCTCGAGCCATTGTCTGTACTTGTATTTGGTATCTTAAAGCTGCTGCCCCTGTGGAGGAAGAAGAGATGACTTCTCTCCATCCATGGAAATGCCACCAAGAACAGTCCCAGATTATGTGCTGAGTGCTTGAATGTCCCCATCTGGCCCATAGGTCTGCCAAAGGTTTTATAGAGGCTGTAGCCTAGAGGTGTTTGGGACAGGACCCATAGCATGGTGTAGACTGGCAAGTTGTAATTGCACCTGTTTGGCTGAGGATGACATGAAATGAAGCATGGCAGCTAAGAGGAAAGCAAATGCTGATATGAAAATAACCCTTCTCCATTTCATTCCTCACCTAAGGTACAACAGCAAGGTAATTTCTGATAGAAAACAAACCACCTGCACTGAGGAGGCTGAAAATATAAGTTCAAGCACAGGGATAAATGGGGAAAAACAGGATGGCACAGTCATGGTCATAGATAGGCCAGAATACAGAGGTGGCTCTTGAGCTGCTCCCCCAGCAGGTCACAGTGGTCAGCAAATTTCTCAGGAAAAACAGGACAGGAAAACAACAGTTTTCAAGACAGATTTGAATCTCAATCAAGTTTTTGCAGCAGAGATCACGAAGACATCACTTCATGCTTAAATGAACTAGAGAACTTATTGAGGTATTTGTATGTGATCATGCCAAATGTCCTGGGCAGTACCTGATTAAACCCACTGCCAGCAGGATGAGTAAATCCAGCAGTAGAAAGGTGTTAAAATGTTCCATACTAGCCTTTGTGGAAGTAAACTGGTACTGGGTGCAGTAAAAGGCAATCAAATGTTAGTCCACATGGAACTTGGGGGTTTTTTGTAGGGCCCAATCTGGTACTGCTTTGATATAAAAAAAGTGAGAGAACGAATAAAAAGAAATACTGTTTGATTTCCTGATTAAAATTGAGCTCCATTTGTTTTGAATGAAAAGTTTCTCTGTAGAACAGTGACTCATAAGCTGTAAGTCAAAAAAGAAAAGAAGAATTAATCACCAGGAAAGGGAAATACAAAAACAAAACCAAACCCCCAGAAGTGCTTCAGCTCTATGGGACTGAGAGAATGAGTGTGTATCCTGTGATGCACTTGGCTGTATGCAAGTGGCTTTCCTTCTGCATTTTCATCTCAGTAAAATTAGAGGTTGGAGCTTGGGGGATATAGGTTCAACTTTTGATTCTGCAAAGCTTCCTGTGAGGCATGGGATGAATTCTCAAATCTCTCTGGGTCTCACCTGTAAAACAGTAATAACATTCTTTGTCTATTTAAATTACTGCTTCTTCCTATGAGTTTCTACCAGGCCTAAAGTAACAGGGCCCTAATGCATAATTAGAACCTCTAGCTGCCACTGTGCTATGAATAATAATGTTTATTAATCATAATAAACATGTCAGTGCTGTCAGAGCATGTGCATGGAGCAAGTAGAACAGTGTCTGACAATCACATCCTGCCACGTAAGGCTTGGGGTGGAAAATGAGACTTATTCTGCAGGTAATGTAAAACCCAGGGATGGCCAAAGTCTTCCTGCAGGCGATGTTGGCAAAAAAGAAAAAAGGTCACATTTGTTCTAAAAAATAATGCAGCAACATAGCTGTGTCCCTCTCTAACGTGTCAAGATAGCTCCTCATATTTCCAGACTGCAGTAGTGAGGATCTGAGTAGCGTCTGTCCAATCCAAAATATATATAACAACAGTAGTAAACCCCGAATTATATACTGAAATCACCCAAATTTATTCATTAAACCTTCCCTCTAGTTGCTCTCCTCCTCTTCCTCCTTTATCCAAGTCACTGTTCCTGTTAAGAGCTGAAGAAGGGCAGAATTCAGGCCATTCTATCCAATGATCTCAGTTACTGGTCCCTCCACCTGTGTGCCAGCAAGGGATGGACCAGATCCTATTTCTGACTCACCGTACTGAGAGAAAGGTGAGATGGCAGCCCATCTAGGAAAACCTCATATTTTGCATGCTTAAAAAGCTGATCTTATGGTAAGGCACAACTCAAAGTGGGCCAGGGTACTCCAAATCAAACCTTGTTTGCCGGAGTGGTGTAAAAAACAGAGATCATCCCAAACCCAGCTGGGCTAGGATCCACCCTTGCCCATATGAAACAATTGCTGCTGCTGACAGCAGAGAGGTCACCTTAGATTTTGGACTATTTATACTAAAACAAGACAGATAAAGCCTTTGAAGCTCCTGGAGTTACTTGAGACTCCAGCTGGCGTAAAGGAGGTCAGAACCTGCTTCTAGGTCCTTTGGTTGAATCTCATTGCTTGATCTATGCTGGAGATACTTGCTGCAGAGTTAGTCATCCTTGTGTCCTGAAGAGACCTCACAGCACTTTCTATTAATCAGAAATACCTGCTGGGAGGAATTGTCTGGTGAACTACAGGACTGGATTTGGGAACAAAAAAAAAATGAAATTCTGTACATTGAGAAAGAACCTAAACAACACAAACTCTGTAAAAAATAAATGGTGTGCTGTGTAATGGGGAAACAGTCTTCCTCCTGACAGCCTAATTACAGGTGGCTGATTTATTCTCCTCTGGAGCATGCCTGATCCCTTGCTCTGGTGCAATCCATCCCTGGCCACTCCTGCCAACCCCACCGTCTGGGAGCCAGACAGGCCACAGCCACCCTGCATCCACCAACATCAACATTTGACTTTCAGTAACAGCAGTATCTCCTTGACTCTGCAGCCCAATCCAGGAACCACTAAATCAAACTGAAAGAAGTGCATCAATGCCCATTTTTTTATTAAATCCGAATATCAAGTGTTAGGTTTTTTTAAATGGTGAAAGGTCCTGGGCACTCAAAACCCATTGAAAAACTGCAGGATCTGAAGACACAGCTCTCTTTTTTCTTTGACAAATTTGAGCTTCAGAGGTGCCCTGGTATGTGAACTCAGTCAACACCTCACGTGTGAGTGCATTTATAATTTTCTCATTGTGGCACTGCCAATACCTTTGTGCTTTTCAATCACTTCATGTTCGTTTTGAAACAAAACAAACATTATTTCCAAAGTGTGTCTGCTCAAAGCAATTCTCTGAACTGTTCACGTTGTGTGCATCACTCATGCCAGGAAAATGTGTATGTCTCCATGTAAAAACCAATTGTGCACCCCACCTTCAGAAACCTCCCATGCTCAGTCTGTGGTCCTGCTCCTCCATTGCATCAGAGAACAGTGATGATGCATTCACTGCTGTGTTCCCACTGCTGCTGACAGACAGAAACAGCCACAATGAAAAAAACCAGCACATTTACTTAACCCATGTCCTTGCAGTGAACAGTCCCTGGAATTTGCAGCAGGGTTCATGTTGTGCCAGGCTCTCGGTACATCTTGCTAATTTCCCAGCACCAGCATTTCTGCAAGGCCGGAAATACTGTTTGGTGGAGGCAAGAGAACAACAAGGAAAACAAAGCCTTGCCCCAAGCCACCATTTCAAATCAGTGGTGGAGACTAACAGATGCCAGCAGAATCCCAACCCCTTGTTTCAGCCACGAGGCAAATCCTGTTTTTGCAGTGACTTCAGTAGCTCACTACGACCAATTGACTGTGGCATCCAATTCATTTTTACAAGCTTTGTGGCACTATGGTCTGCCAGGAACCCAGAGTGAGCAATAATTTTCATTTGAACCATTTTTCAGTTGTGGGTGTTAAAGACATAGGTGGATTGAAGAACCCTACATAGAGCATCTGTCATTTTCCCACCTTTTTCATTGTCTTTGATGTGGGAGCTGCACTGTGTCCTCCATGTCAGTACATCATCTAATATATTCCTTAAAGAGCTGCTGAACTGTCTATACTAAAGAGTGAAATATGTCAGCTTATGTTTTATTTTGACTGAGAGCACAAATCCTTACCCTGCTCTGCCTTTGGGAGAAGCAGCCATGCCCAGGAACAATGCCGTGGTTCCAGCCAAACCACATCTGATCCTGAGATGTCATCCCTGACATACAGGTTTGGAGATGCTATTTCTCAAATGCAAATGTCAAAACGATGGCATTTGTTCAAAAATCAGCCCTCTGCTTTTGTTAAATGTATGAAATACCTGTGAGTGTGTTTAGAAGCAGACCAGGTGCCTCACAGCGGGCTTTAAAACAGAAAATCTGGGGTAGGGAGGAAACAATTTGGAAAAAGCTGAAGAGGGCTGAGAGGGGAAGAAACCCCTGTGCCAGCGGTTGGGTGTCAATATGTTTTCACCACGAGACTAGTTCTCTGCCTAAAACAACCTTATTTGAGGATTATCTCTGGAACAACATCATCTGTTCTTGATCCTTTCCAACCTTGCTTAGCTGCCATTTGGCTCCTGCTCCCTACGCACTAAGGACATCCAAGAGCCACACAGATGGAGCGGGAGCATTAACACTGGCACCTCCTTATAGACCATGTCACAGGGTCAGTGAATACCTGACAGCACACATAAGCAGCCTTACAGCAACATGAAGAACTTTCAGTTCTTCACCACATCATGTACCAAGAAAACACCAGACATCCCTGACATCGCCCTAAATATCAGAGGGAGGGAGAGTCTGTTCCTAAAGCCCTTCCAGATCCCAGTTTTCCACCCAAATGAATAACAAGCATGAAGCACTGGGTTAGCTCCCCTTCTCTTGGAAGCATCACCCACTTGGCCAGCAGAATGGAAGGAGCCAATAAGATCTGTTTTGGATAATCTGTATGACAATATTGAGCATTTCTTTTTATTATTCGCTGCTGGATTAAATTGCTTCTGGGATGCTTCTGTAGCTGTTGGCTCTGGCTAAATAGCAGGAGGACTCCCAATAGTAGGAGTCATATGACCATGCTCTTGTGCACTTGTGAATGGAAAATCATGTGTCTTCATAAATCACAGGAATATAAAGACCATATGCAATGTTCAGAGGTCCCACATATCCACTTGAGAGCGGGCCACTGCTAGCCAAGAAATCTGAAAGCAGAATTATCTGTACTATATGTTTTACTTTGCTTTAATACTGAACGTAAGTGGAGAGGAGAAAAAAGACAAATAAAAGAGAATGTCAAGAATAATGAAAAAAGTGTTTATTCCCGGCTCAGAGAAATTATTTTGACACCAGCTTTCACATTTTTTTATTATCACCCCTTTGGGCAAAGTCATTCAAAAGAACAAACAGAAAATCATACCGCAGACTATGATACAGAACCTGCCTCTCTCAGCAGACTGGATGTGACAGCAGAAATAAGACCCCAGGATCCAAGCATGGTGGAAAATAAAAAGGTTGTTTTAAAATATTGCTGTTTTAGTAAGTGGGGAGATGTGTGAACTCGATGTTACTAAGATAGTGATTGCCTTACCCTAACCTTACCCTAATTTTTCCCCAGTGTTAATACGTGCATATTGAACCACCACATCCTGAATGTGATAAGCACCTGCCAGGATCTGCTCCAGGACTCACTAGAGCTGTCCCTAATGAGACTCGATTTGCTCTTGAGTGTGTCTGTTCCCTGTGGACGCTGGAGAGCCCCCCACAGATGGTGCAGAGGATGCTCTTGTGTTTGGAGCCACGTGTGCTACTTCTCATCTTCACATGGAGTACCTATCTGCCAGAGTAGAGTTGGCAAAAATTAGCTGGACTTCCTTCTGTAGCAGCTCTCTGCAGACAACATGGTGCATAGTTGGCCTTCCTTGCTCTTTTCCATTGTTCTTCCCATGCTGCCCTCCCAGCTCTCTCTTGAGCGAGAATGCTCTGCAAGTCCTTCTATTCCTGTCAGGTGCCTCCTTTTCCCTATCAGCCTCTCCTTAACAAGGTCCTACTTTGAGCAGACAAATCTCCATTTTCTTCTACTTCTCTGTGTTTTCTTCACCCTTTCTGTTTTACAGGGTTTATATTTTTTCAGCCTTCCTACATATCACTGTCATGCAAGTTGTTTTACTCACCTTTGAGTTGTAGCATATGAACACACATACAGTTAAGACCTGTGGACCATAGAATTAGCATTCCTCTGCCCAATGGAGCTCCTTCTTTTCCCCTGGGATTTGCTTTCCGACTACTTTTGGAGCTATGACCC